AACTCAGGATAAATAAAAAACCTAAATCAATTTTTCAGACTCCCTGACATATGTTTGTACGTAGTGGCATGTTCTGCCACATGAAAACTGCGCTTGGTTCCAGCACTCAGCAAAGAAGTACAGCAGAACATACACAGTAAGAGATGATTTTGCAGTTTCTAGGATGAAGTACTTTAAGTACATTGATACACTACCATGCAAAGCTTTTACCTAGAAACCCAGCACTACATCCAAGAAAATCCAAGGGGATCTAAGGCTTTGACCCTGGGGATGAGAGAAGTTTTCAGGAGAGTAAGTGCACATACAAGAACATGGAAGATTAGGTACCAGAAAGCTCTACCAAAAGATCATTTTTTAAATCAGAAGAGTTTGGCATTCACTCCTTTTTTATTTCTTCCTAAGAGACTCAGTGCAGTGTGTTTATTTAAAATCAGCTAATTGAATTGAGACTGTTGCATAGATAACCCTAGAGGCCTGTAACATCATTAAGAGCAGACCATCAGCCAATCACAGCAGCCAGAGGTAAACAAGGGCCTGACCTGCCTTCTGCTACAGTGGTGTAAAAAGGGTATCTCTGTTTTCAAAAGAATGGAATTTATCCAGATTTTTAATAGTGCAACTGAAGGCAGATTTGGCTCAGCTTCTTCAGTGGCCACCAGGGCCCACAATATACATGATATGATGTACAATTGGGCACAGAAGTTTGAAAAACATGTTCTGTCTTTTTTCAAAGTGTGTACAATGAATATTAAGCAACCCCCTGAAGTTCACATTGCCAGTCACCTAGAATCAGCACTGCAATCCCTATTATACACTGCACTATATGGAATGCTAATGACTATTTAAACTAATTCAGAACGGATGTGTAAAGAGTCAGGCAGTGACAGGGATATGGCACATAATAAGTACAATATTATTCTGTAGCTTTACATATTCCTTTTCTTCTTTATTTCAAGGAGATGACATTTTTTCCAAATTGGACTATTTTTGATAGCCTTGGAGGACAGAAACTGAGATTTCCACATCCAAATAGCTAAAGTACCCACAGGCCAATTTTTATTTAGGAAAAAGGAAAAGCTGCCAACCATGTCAAAGGCTGGAGTGATCAATTGAATCATGAAGGAAGTGGGTAGGAAGCTTCATTAAAAGTGTAGTATATGGATACTCCCTGTAATCCATAATGCTTTGTAACCTCATACTTGCATTCTAAATACATTTGCATTAGATTTCAAAGAATTACATCACTAAAGTATCTGGAAGCTTTAGCTAGGAGATCACAAGCAGGTGATGCAACAGCCAATTATTTACATAACTAGAAAAACTGTATATACAACAACATACAATCTTCATTAGCATATCTTACTTTTTTCCTTTCATTTTCTGAAAAATACCATAGCTAATACATCAGTCAGCAGTAGAGTGAGAGGACTTCACTTTCTGGTGTTCACTTCAGCTTCCGTTTATTAACTGAAAAGTGGGTTAGTACCTTTTTTTAATTGTTTTTGTGACAGAGCTGCTTGTGGCTTGAAAGAACCAGTATTCAGATAGTATTCATCTAAGGCTATAGTGAACTACATTTAATAGGATCTACTCAGTTTTCTCATTTCTGCCTCTGTGCTCTCAGAGGGTGTCTTCTGCAAATCATCACTTCAGTAAATCCCAATTTAAATGTAACTCATTATTGGACAAATACATCTCCTGATGAATGCTTCCTTGAAGAGGCAGTCACAACCTAAATTTCATTTTTATTGCAGAGGGAACTTGCACAAAACTGAGGTGAACGGTGGATTCTCTGACAAATACACTGGCACAAAAACATGACCACCTGAACTACAATAAACTAAGCAAGTAGCCACCAAGTATCCAGATGAACCTACTTGGTTTCAGAGAAAATTCTTCTCTGTCTGAAGGAACAGTCAGGACCTCTAAAAATCCCTACTTTCAGAGATTAACTCAAGCTGTTAAACTTGGGAACAGACCTAGATTTTAAATACTCTACAATACCCTGACACCATGGTACTAGATATGACTTCTGTGTTTTAATTTGAAATACATGAAATATATCACACTATATGTCTCCAGGGGAAGTTCTTGGCTAGAAATGTGTATATTACTCCACATTTCTATATTACTTTTTCCACTTGGCTGATCAGACCTGTTCCTTACTTTCTTCTTCACCCTGCCATATTCAAAGCAGGCCAGTGGCAGGGAAATTGGCTGCAACATGGACTGTGCTCTTCCCAGGACAGAGATAACAAAACTGTTGCTGGTATGGTTTTGCAAACTGTTTGTAAGGTGTAAGGTGGGAGGGATGGAGAAAGACTGTTCAGTATCTTGTTGAATGTTTGTGCAGAGATTAGAAACAATGCAATAAAGAAAAAAAAAAAAAAAAACCAAAGAAAAAAAACCCCCACTCACTAAAATCCTTAAAAGGTACATCAGGCTGTTATCTAGCTGACCTTGATGTTCTTTGCTCGGTTTATAGCATACTTTTCCCTAATTAAAGCAGTAGGAAGTTTTGTTAATTTTTGAGCATATGTATAACCTACTTCTTTACTCCCCAGTATAAATCATTTTAAGGACAGATAACTTCTTTAAAAGATTCATTCTTTCAAGCTGCAGTTCTGGTGACAAATTCTCAGCACAGAAAATATCCCAGGAAAGGCTTGTGTTTCTTGCACACAACTCCCATCAAACACATTCCAGCAGGATTTGGTTTTACTAGTATTTTAGAAAAACGAAACATGCAGCTAAAGAGGAAGACAAAGATGGGGCAGGGGAGGGGGAAGGAATTAATAACGAAAACCTAAAGACTGGAAAATAGAAAAGAAAGTAAGGAAAAAAGAAAAACAGAAGAGCCAGCCTCTTTCTGAAGCCCAGTCTTCAAAAGGAACCTAGAGAATGTTAGCCACAGTCAGCCTGGTTAACATTGCAACATCTGAGCAATGCTGGGCTATGACTTCATGATACCAAGTAGTTAATCTGTAAAGGTGCGTTCTGCCAGTCTCAAACCCACTCCTCGCACTTCAGAAGGGTGTTAAAAGGATGTTTTACTCAAAGGTGCTTATAATGACAATCTTCCTCAACTCACCTTCGGTTGGGTTACAGGTCCTAAGATGGTCTTTCATAAGAATGCCACATAATGTCAACTAAACTTTTTTTTTTTTTAATTTCACTCCACCTCCTTTACCTTTCAAATGAATTTTCATTTGTTCATAATCAAAACAGTGTTCAATTCAGAAGTCAGATTAAGTATTTTAAAAGATCCCATCTAAGAGAAACCATACCTACATTCTGTGGACACTACTAAATACCTATACAATATATTTTTAAAAAACTCACGAAGAGTTAACTCCAACAGGAGTTAAAAATAAGCTTGACATTGAACAGACATATCCACCTTCTTTACTGCTATTACAGAAGCAAGTTAGAAAACAAAACATTTTTAAACCAGAAAAACAAATGGACCAGCACCATTGTCATTTTGCTGAGACCAATTGTTTCTAAAAGTTAATGGTTATTGGGACCCAGATGTCTTCAAACTCTCTCAACAGTAAAAAATCTGCTCCTGTTGACCAACTGTGATCAGCATTAAGAAAAAACCCACCCACTTTCCCTTTAAATTTCTATGTCTAGTTAAAACAGTTAAAATGAGTACAATTCTGTTTACTTCTGCTCCCTATAAGGCAGTCATCACCACAACTCCTACATATTTTCAAGTCTTTAGGACATTCAACAAATGCTTCATAGTGGACCCTGCACTCTGTGAGTCCCTGGTGGGCATGTGAGCCAAGTATGTCCAAAATATCATTTGCTTGATGATTTCTTTCATTTCTGACCTTTCTATTAATATAATTCCATCTGCAGTAACACATGAAAGATTTTCCTAGCAGGTAAGCATTGCAAATTGTAGTTCAAATTCATTTAATGTCATCCACTGACTCCCCCCCAATCAGGTGACCTTCTCCAAGAATCTTCCTCATCTGTTTAGACTTTTCTAACTACATGGTTCCTGAGAGCATAGCTTTCCCATCAAGCTGGAAATGAAGAAAAATAGATTAAGGGCTCTTGAATGGATACTAGAGGTCAAATAAGAGGCTGTGGAGGATCCTGGGAACTATAGCAACCTACTGGTATTGTATTTTTTATACAAAGAAAATTAACTGCAGCATTTACACCAGAAAAAGTTGGTGCCTACTGCAAGCTTCAGATATAGATCATCACCTCAGTAGTCTCCACTGAGGTGATGATCACAGGGATGAGTTGTCAGTAGTTTTTTGTGATAAAAAATAACACTTTTTGCCTAGCAAGCTAGACATGAAAGAAAGCATCTCCTCAGTCTTCATACTAACTAAAAGCTTTTCAAGACCCGTCTTTGGTAATTGAAGGCAGATACGTTCAAAGAAAGTGTTGTGACAAATTGTTAGCACATTTAATTTCTGAATAACCTCCCTTCCAATTCCATTTACTTAACATTTTCCTTCTCTGTTTTCAGCTGGTACGTCCAGTGGACACTCTGACATCATTGAGGAGAAGCCATTTTCAAAAGAAACTTTGATACTAACAAACAAGAAGTGCAATTGATTTCTATTTCAGTTTTAAGTATTTCATAGATGTCAAGTAACAACACACAACTAGAGGAAAAATAAACCGAAAGGCAGCAAAACAGAGTTTGTTATTTAGGTAGACCCTGAACTACATTTTGCGAGCCCTATCAGTAAGAGATTGTCTCACAGGGGCACAGCATGCTATGCAAGAGACTGCACCCAGCTGTTATTAGTCACAGATGTCAGGCATTCTATAGACAAGGGCTGCAAGGGTGACCTGTGGGGAGGAATCCATTAGCTGCCCTGTGCAGTCACAGCTGCCTCCAGCTGGCTCTGAAACCATTGCACACCTCATATCACACACCAAAACTTCAACCAACCATGTGGTGCCTCTATTCAGACATGTTTAAGAAGGAGTAGGTGCTGCTGGGAGAAGAGAAACAAAGGAGGCACATGGACAGGGACATCGCTGAGGACACAGATGAAGATGCCTGCATCTCTTCAGAGATGTTCCAGGCCAGAGGAAGTGCACCTCTGAAAGGACTGCAGCCCATGATTGACATGGTAAGAACACCACTGAAGGGCTACAGCGCATTGATGATCACCAGCAGAACAGGGACATTCCCAAATGGACTGTGGCTCACGGAGAATACATGCCGGGGCAGGAGCTCCCCCAAAGGGACTGTGACCTATGCAGAAACTGGAGCAGAGGAAAACAAGTAAGAAGAAAAGACTGGCAGAAAGAGAATTATGTGTCTAGCCCCAACCCCAGTTCCCCAAATCGTGGCCTGTGACACCATCTCAGCTGGTCCCCAGTGGAATCCCACTGTCTCGAGATACTCTTAGAAGGTTCAGTGAAGGAAGAGACTCATGGAGCCTGCAAATGGCACGTATTAACATGAGAGGTGCATGAGAAGTGTATGATGCACCAGCTCTTCCTGCACACCCAGAGACAATGGATCTGTTTCAGCCAGGGCATTAGTTTCACAAATTCTTGTTTCTTCTAATTGCTGCTGTATACACTAATCCTCTGAGAGACTTAAATCTGAAAGATTGCTAAGTGTAAGTTATGCAAAATGTATGCTGTATGGTTTCTTCTTTTTAAGGTAACAAATAACTGCCAGATAGCACCTGTTTCAATGTTGAAAGCGGGCATCAGCACTAGTGGCTCCATAGGTAGCACCCTTACCCACGAGGCAGTATTCAGTAATATGCCAGCATGGTGTCAGGCTGAATTGTTGGAAGCACTGTCCTTAGAATGCAATATAAAACCTATATCTGAACTATTTACAGTCCTCAGAGATCTCAACTGTACTGTGAACAAGGTTATCCCTAGAGTTCTAACTAAATCACATTTTCTCAATTGCATTCTGTCAACCTGAATTTCCACTACATTTTTGTTTAGATACTTTACACTCATTTGCCTCTTGTCTTAAACTGCTGTGCATATTTTTAGAAGCCAATGTGTCATAAGTGCTAGGAGAGGAAAACACAAGGTCGTGTCACAGCTTTAATGGGAAAAGTGTTTTTACTTCACTCAGATTTGAGAAGAGTGGTACAACCACATTCCACCCTTCAAGTACAGGCCATGCACTGTTAATTTGAAGGGGAACAGGCTAAACATTGCTGTGTTGACAGGAAGCATTAGAAAGAAGTGGACAGTGGCAACTTCAATATTGCCAGCTTCAAATAAAGGTAGCTCTTGGTTCAGAACCTGTTGAAAGTGCATATTTGGGGATCTTTTTAAGCTGAATCTGAATTTTTAGGTATCAGTAGTATTTTTGAGCTTCTGTTTGTTACAAAAGTAGAACTAGTAACTTTTTAATGAAAGCTTGTGAGTTCAGGTTGACACTTGTCATTCAAAATAGTTAGAACTAATAACAAAGACTTCTGAGCTCATGACACACTACTTTCCAATTCCCTCCATCTTTTACAAGCCTTTCAGTGCAAGTTGTAGTATATCCTGCAAAAATGTAGGACCCAATTTTGTGACATGCTATGCTCAGAAGTAAAACACTGTATAGATCTCGTTAATGCCTCAACAATGCACGGAAGGAGATGGTGTACGCAGAAAAACAGAATTTTTACACCCACAATAGACAGCTTCTCCCCTATATGTGGGAAAACTCCTTCTAGGATTCTAATTCTTTAGAACTTGAGAAAGGTATGACCTCTTGTTTTTTATTATAACACTTAAAACCAGCACAGGATACCCGATAGTATCACCCTCTTTGTACAAAGACTTGTCTACCCATCAGTCAGCACAGCAAGCCAGCTGTTGACTCCCTGTTCTTCATGCTTTTTTTCTGAAACTGGAAACCAGTAAATAACTTGCTCTAGAAGATTACCATCAATTTTCTTCAAAGAACAATTTCAAATTAAATAAAAGCTGACATCAGAGATAACACCACAGAGACTCCAGAAATTTTTATCACGTGAAATTCCCATAGAAATTTAAAATAGTTCCACACTAAAAAGCTATCAAAATTTGCCCACAATGAGGCATAGCTATTCTGAACAACTTCATGGTTTTACATGTCTTTTCCCACAGAATTATCCCTTATTCTGATTTAGTCTCATTATTTGAAAGTTATTTCAGGGAAGTAGAGTTCAAATAAGCACATCCACAAGTGGAGTTACTCAGCAACAGCTACAGAAATTAAATTTACATCTACTTTAATCAAAATTAAATTTCAAGTGTGAACAAGCTCCATATTGCATTGTTGGAAACCAAGGCTGAATTACAATGATCTAGTTAGAATACAGCTGCACAGACATACAAGGAAAAATAATTAAAATATGATCTCTAAAAGTATCTTATTAAGGCTTTTATTCAAAAGTCACTGCCATAAGGACACAGAAGCACAGGTCACAGACCCAGAAGCACTCCACAGTAGCTACACACACATCCTGCCCATGTGAAAAATGTATTATAGAGAAACAGAATAATTATACATGTATCTCCCAAGTGGATCATACTTCCTGAAGAAGACATTTTTAGTGTGGAATAAATATGCCAACAAACTAAGCTGATCAAAAGCCATTTTATACATGTTTAAGTACATACATACATACACACCCGTATAATCCCTGCTCAGACTCATCTGCCTTAGCTATTAGCAGGCTATTAAGCAGTAGGGGGGATGCAGGATAGGATCCACAAAGCTCACACAAACAATTCTGATGCATTTTTTTCTGTCTAATGGACCTTCCATTTAACAGAAGCAAGAGCAGTTACAACTGCTTAGAGAGGGACACACAGATTAGATTAGGAAGAAGTGATTCTTGCTGGCATGGCAATTCCACATGCATCTGGAATTGCTATTGAATCCCACTTGGACTGTCAGCCAGATTTCTTCACTCTTCTGATATTTTAAAACAACTACTGCTTCTTTAAAGAATTTCCCCGTGTAGAATTAATGGTAGTAGCAGCATAGAAACAATTATGTTTTAAAGATTGACTGATACAATACCTAGCTAACGTATTTGTGTGATCAAACGTATATTGAAGTCACTAGAGTTCTATGTCAGGACCTCAGAAACCATGGCAGGGCCACAGTTTGAACGTTAAATTGCTTAAGGAGAATTTTTAAACACTGGCTGTTAATCACTCTTTCTGAAGAAAGCATGACAGCAAGTCAATTCATGAAAAAATAATCTGACTCATGCACTATGCAGAAATGCCAGAAGCTGCTTTTAACAAACTGTTGATGCATGAAAATCAGCATCACGGAAACTAAGTTAAAATTGTTGCAAACACTTTGTAGAGGAGCAATGAGGAAAATGCAAATAAACCCAAATAATAGAGTTCTGAGGAGAATGTGATCAGCTATTTTTCATTCCTGTACTATTATTTTCTTTCTTTTGTGTGTGTGCATACTGTATTCTTCAGCTCCTATGTGTGAAATCTTTGATTGCAAACACAAGGATATTGCACATGCTAACTTTTAACATGAAAGCTGATAGTGCAATGGAACAACAGCACATAAATTGGAACTAATTTAAACCAATCTGCAAAGAAAGATAACATTTTTTTTAAATTTACAGATGTTTCAGTTAGAGAAGTTGTGTTTTAGCTGATATATTAATCCATTTTTATTTATGGTTGTCTGTAACTAAAGGATATTTAATGAATTTGTATTTCCCCCTTTCATTCTGTTCTTCACTTCTACTGCTAGCTTCATGCATAAACAAATGACTGCATTAGAAATGCATGTACAAAGAGAATTGAAAATAGCAATTTCAAAACAAGGAAAGAATAAATAGCTTCATTAAGAAGTAAAAATTTTCGGAAACAGATTGACATCTTTGCTGAAGCAAAAAACATAATAATGATGCAAACAGCAGGAAGGAAAACAGCTTTCTTGTTTAAACACTGGAAGATACAGCCGGGGCCAGATTCTTGAGCCTTAAGCCGAGGATCAGCTCTCAAAGCACCAAGTGCAGGGTTCACACTGACATCCACGCAAACTCCAGACCCAGAAGGCTTTCAGGGCCAGGCCCTCCGCCTCAGCTCTGGAATTAATTTTACTGGCTGTGGTGGAAGTTTTCATCGTTAACAAACCAAACATTATTTCCATTGGAAAGGATTTTAAAGGCCCTGTTAGGAGAGCCAGCTGGAAAGCTGTGATCTTTAAAGTTCCTGACTGAGGATTCACATGATGGCCATTAGACACGTTACCTTTGGACTGCTAATTCTTCTTTAAGTAATTTCTTCAGGAAAGCCTTACTAAATTAAACCTGTGGTTTACTTCATCTGAGTTTGTCATATACATCATCTCAGTCAGACACACAATAATTAGAGATAATTAGGTGACACATTTTAGCCATTTTGAAAGGGAGAGCTCACCAAGCCTCTCTTCGTTATCTATCAACAATCCTGGTCAACAGGAAAGGTACCAGATGACTGGAGGGTGGCCAATGTGATGCCCATCTAGAAGAAGGGCCAGAAGGAGGATCTGGGAAACTATAGGCCTGTCAGCCTGACCTCGGTACCGGGAAAGATCATGGAGAGGATCATCTTGGGAGAGCTCTCAAGGCAAGTGCAGGGCAGGCAAGGGATCAGGGCCACCCAGCCTGGGTTTATGAAAGGGAAGTCCTGCTTAACCAACTTGATCACTTTCTATGACCATGTGATCCACCTTCTCAATGCGGGGAAAGCTGTGGATGTTGTCTACCTGGACTTTGGTAGGACCTTTGACACAGTCCCCCACAGCATTCTCCTGAAGAAGCTGGTGAATCATATTTTGGAACAGCCTGCACAGGGAGGTGGTGGAGTCACCATCCCTGGAGGTATTTAAGAAACGTGTAGACATGGCACTTCAGGGCATGCTTTAATGCCTGAGATAGTTGGGTATTTTCTGTGTGTGGGTGGGTGTAGTGTGTGTGTGTGTTGGTTTGTGGTTGGTTTTTTGGGTGGGTTTTGTTTTGTTTTGTTTTGTTTTGTTTTGTTTTGTTTTTGTTGGTGGTCGTCGTTGTTTTTGTTTGGGTTTTTTTTGTGGTTGGACTCTATGATCTCAAAGGTCCCTTCCAACCATGAATATTCTGTGATTCTGTCAGAAAGGTGGACACAGGCTGTGGAGATGTAGTCCTCAGGATATGAGCAGTCAGTCAGGGCTTAGTGCTTGCAAAAAAAAAAATCAAATCTACCTCTATAGGGAAATTGGCCTGGATTCCTAGTTGATCTCTATAGCACAGAGGCACAAGAGATATGTCTGAT